TTTTTTGGTTTTTTTCGAGACAGGGTTTCTCTGTGGTTTTGGAACCTGTCCTGGAACTAGCTCTTGTAGACCAGGCTGGCCTCGAACTCACAAAGATTCACCTGCCTCTGCCTCCCGAGTGCTGGGATTAAAGACGTGCGCCACCACCGCCCGGCTTTTCTGAGACATTTTTTTTTTTAATTTATTTATTTATTAAGGATTTCTGCCTCGTCCCCGCAACCGCTTCCCATTTCCCTCCCCCTCCCCCGATCAAGTCCCCCTCCCTCATCTGCTCGAAGAGCAATCAGGGTTCCCTGACCTGTGGGAAGCCCAAGGACCGCCCGACCTGTGGGAAGCCCAAGGACCGCCCACCTCTATCCAGGTCTCGTAAGGTGAGCATCCAAACTGCCTAGGCTCCCACAAAGCCAGTACGTGCAGTAGGATCAAAAACCCACTGCAATTGTTCTTGAATTCTCAGTATTCCTCATTGTCCGCTATGTTCAGCTAGTCCGGATTTATCCCATGCTTTTTCAGACCTAGGCCAGCTGGCCTTGGTGAGATCCCAATAGAACATCCCCATTGTCTTAGTGTGTGGGTGCACCCCTCGTGGTCCTGAGTTCCTTGCTCGTGCTCCGTCTCCTTCTGCCCCTGATTTGGACCTTGAGATTTCTGTCCGGTGCTCCCGTGTGGGTCTCTGTCTCTGTTCTGAGACATTTTAAACCAAGAAGGATGCAGTTAGTATTCAGCCATTGCTAGGTGTGTGAAGAACGGAGGTTATATCACGAGTCCATCTTTAAATTACCTCCTCTTAATTGAGACAGTTTTCCAGTTTCTACCGCCTTGCTCAACTATTTTGAGGAGGGGGATTTTATATATAAACTAGTTCAAGCTGGTCTCCCGATCCACTATCCTTAAACTCAGCTCCCTGGTCCGACGCTAGGATTATGCAGGTTTGTGCCACCAGCTCTTTGTTAAATATTTGTTTCTAGTTTGTAGTTGTTAACCTCGAATGCTGTTGGTCTAGAAAAGACTTCCCCATGCTGGACATTAGAATGTTAATGTCCCTTTAAACTCAAAATCAGCAGGCAAGGAAGGAGTTAATTTTCTCAGGCCTGCTTAGACAAATTCTCCTGTCTCAGCCTCGTTATGAGTTGTCCACCACCACGCCCAGTTTAAATTTTTTTTAAGGTTTATTTTATGCCTTTAAGTGTTTTGCCTGTATGCCTGGAGTCCCAGGATTTCAGAAGAGGGTGTTGAATCCCCTAGAACTGGAGCTACAGATGGCAGCAGTAAGACATCACATGGAGACGGGGAACTGTATTCAGGACGCTCTCTTAACTGAGCTGTTTCTTCAGCCCCCGTACATCACTTTTTTTATGTGTTGTGGGAGATGTTGGTGTTCCAAAATGGTTCTTCTGTGTAGCCCTGGCCATCTTGAAATTCCCGCTGCAGACCAGGCTGACTTCACACTCACAGAGACCCACCTGTCTCTGCCTCCGAGTACTGGGTCACCACTCCCAGCTACCTAGGTCACTTACCTGAATATTAGAATCACCTTGAAAATTTTCAAAACTATTTTGGCCAGGGGCTGGGAACTTTTTTATTTATTTACATATAAAAAACCTATTTATTATATTTTATAGCTCATCTGGGAACTCTGCCCTGCTTAATTCTTAAATTTCCCTCAGTTTCTTGAGACACTGTCACATGTAGCCTAGATTGGCTTGGCACAGAGGAGGCAGGCTCACCCTGCACTCAGCGCCAAACCCAGAGCCTTGCGCTGGTTCTACACTGTTCTACCGAGCTAAGGTCCCAAACCCTGTTTCTCTTCTCTCTTCTCTTCTCTTCTCTTCTCTCTCTCTCTCTCTCTCTCTCTCTCTCTTAATTTTTTTTGAGTTTCTCTTCTTAGTAGTTGTCTGTACTCTTGGGTCTGGCTTAGTGGCCCATGCCTTCAACCCCAGCCAGCACTCTGCAGGGAGGGAGAAGCAATCTGTGAATTCAAGGCCTGCCTAGTTATGTGGTGAGTTCCAGGCTGCCCAGGGCAGTGATAGCAATGAAAAACTGTCTCCAAAGGGGAAAAAAAAAAGGTTGCCAGGCAGTGGTGGTGCGTGCCTTTAATCCCAGCGTGCCTTTAATTCCAGGACAGGCTCCATAGCTACTGAGAAACCCTGTCTCAAAAAACCTCCAAAAAGAAAAAAAGAAGGCTGGCCATTCTCTTTCCAAGCTATTTTTAAAAGTGTACTTCAGACAATAGACAATTTTTGAAAAAAAATGTAATTTGATATAAAGTTATTTTGCTACCCAGATCAGTGTTTTTCTTTTCTTTTTCTTTCTTCCTTTCTTTTATTTTTTTCTATCTTTTTTTTTCTTCAAGATAATGTTTCCCTTGCTGTCCTGGAACTCATTCTGTAGACCAGGATAGCCTCAAACTTAAGAGATCTTCCTGCTTCTGCATCCCGAGTACTGGGATTAAATATGTGTGCCACCAATGCCTGGCCTGTTTTTCAGTTAAAGTTTCAATCTAAATTTGATATTTGACACTGGACTCATAAGACAGGACTCACTTGGTTTTTACTACATAAGAAGAAGAAGCCTAGCCCCTATTTGCCCTGAAATCACTTCCAGATTTTTATCTATCCCTGACCCCCAAATGAATAATGTATCTCTGAAGCGTGGCCAGAGAACAAAAAATAATATGTAGAGATCAGAGTGTTAGATCTTACTAAGCTCATTGGCCGGAGAATGTGTCGAGTCTTGGCCTCTCCAAATCCTGACCTGGTTAACAACAGACTGCCCTGTGGGCTGGACTCGTGGTTCGGAGGTTGAACCATGCTCAGCAGCATGGCAGGTGAAGCATAGGTGGTAGCTTAGCCAGCGGCCACAGCAGCACCACCAACAGTCAAGGGAAGCACGATAAATCAATGAGGAAGAGCAGCAAGTTTCACAGAGATTTAACAAATGTCAGGGAAATAGGATTTCTGAATGAAGTGTTTGATAGACGGCAATAGCCCGTGCAACCCTGGAGGTTGCGCGTGGGTGACTGGTGTATGACTCAGACCCCATGATGGAAATTTCCTTGGCTTTAAAAGGAGACTGCTGTAGGCAGTCAGTTAGCAAACAGCACTTGCAGGTAAGTCAAAGGAAACCATGCGGAGATTTCGGAAGACAGTTGTTACTCTAGGGAACACGACCTTAGGAAAAAAATTCAAGATCCACTTCACGTCACTTCGTGTTATTTTTTTTTAATGTGATGTGGCCTGTGAGGGCCACCCCACACATATGGGGATCAGAGGCAAGTTGTCAAAGTCAGTTCTCTCTTTCTAATGGAACCTAGGTCATAGGACTTGGTGAGGAGACCCTTTACTTGCTGAGTCATCGCGCTGGCTGGCTATTATCTTTGTAAATAAAATTATGGAAACCTGAATATGTTGACATTTGATAAGATCATTCTAATTTATGATATTGGGGCAAATTCTGCTCTTATCTGAAATTACTCCATACACATATAGGCAATAATATATAGGATCTATATCTTAAAGGTATGAATTCTCATATAAATTTTAATGTGAAATCAATAAATTGAAATAAAACAAAGATAGTTGCTATTCTGGTCTTGTTTATCTCTTGTCACCTGGTCTAATAATATTTTATTGCCTTAAGTTCTTTCTAATGAATTTTGGTTTGAAATTTATTGGAACGCTTCTGTGAAAAGCCAATATAAACTATTCACCTTTATCTACCTTTCTAGTGTGTCAGTTACTCATAAGGACTGAGACAACTCATGTTTAAAATTCCACGCTGTTCTAGTAGGATGACAAAATCTCATACAGTCTTACCCCGTGACTCACCCCCATTCTACACAGGGCTCTGCTGCCTGCTGGTCAATCACATGGTAGCCATATTAATTACTGAATGGACTTAGGGCATCCAGAGCTAGTGTTCATAATGCAAAAATGCGAGAGTAGTGAGCCATGGTGGCAATTAGCATACGCCAGAGAGAGTTTACAAAGATCTTCCCGTAAGTAAAGAAGTGAAAGTTCCCAGTAAGGTTAGTAAAAAAAAAATCACATCCTGTAGTCGGTCAGATCTAAGGGAGATCAACTGTACCTGTGACATCGTGAGGAAGGAAACAGAAGCTCAGGCTAATTCTGGCTATCAACCTCAAACTGCACACGGCACATGACAAGTACTTGTTGAGACATAAGATGATACTTGTGCACACATAATATGGAAAAAAATTATATGTGAGAAGATTCAAAACTGGTGGTGACTTTGCGTATCCAGCAGGTGTCTCGGAATGCAAACACCCCAAGGGTTACTACTTAAAGATGGCTGCCAATTTGTGATGGTTACAGTTTTTTGACCTATGAATGGTGTGAAAGCAGTAGACTCCTCCTTCTGATCCTCACGGCTGCCCAGGCTGGTGAGGACACTGTCACGGGAGCAGTCACAGCTCTCACTTAGAAAACCGACCTTGGAGTGCAGCTCTGTGGCCTTTTGCTTTGGGATACAGGTACTCGGGTACATTACACGAGATGTTCATCACAGTATAGCGTAGGCTTAGGGCAAAAGGTACTGGAGATACAGTTCGGTTTGAAGGGCCTTGGCTTCTATCCCCAGTAAGCACAAACAAACAAGACACCACAAAAGAACAAAATAGACAGGCCAGATAAAACTAGGTGAGTGGGGACTGAAGAGAAGGCAGCTCAGTGGGTAAGAGGGCTGACTGGGGTTCCATCCCAGCATCTGCCTGGGAGCTAACTAGTGACTCTAACTCCAGTTCAAAGGGGACCAGACACCTACTTGCTGGCAAAGCACTCATACGTATAAAATAAAAATAAATCTCTAAACTAGATAAGTGTTTTAAATCCCTCTTGGAATTAGAATATTTTCAATTTATGGCAGATTCATCTGGTTGTAATATCATTATATGTCAAGGAGATAAGTATTATACAGTCAGTGTTTTATCCCCAAGGCCAGGCGCACAGCAAACCACACAGTTCAGAGCATAATTTATTAAAATTTTCTAATGAACAATCTTGATATGTTATTAGTCCAATCCAATCATTTCACAATTTATATCATAGATCAAGATGCCACAGAAAAATACAATTTTTTTCTTCACAATTTTTGTAAAGCCTTTAAATACTTCAAAATAACTTTTAATTGTAGAATTTTTCTAGTATCTTCTGTAAATCCAGGATAGTAGTGAAATGTCAGAGTAAGAGCTGGTGGGGCTGGGGCTCAGTGATTCCGTGCTTGCAGAGGTCCAAGGTTCAATTCCCAACACTACATACATTAAACATAGAAACAAAGTCAGATGAAGTTAAAAGCAATAGTATAATATTTATTGAACACCGTATATTGCCATTTATGGCATTATTGCATTTTATTGAGCACCTTATGTACCGGTCATTTAAACGTCACGATTTAGTGGGAGGTGTTACTACTGTAAAGGGGGAGGAAGCCGATTACCTAGAGTTCAGCTTCTCTGCGGTAGCTGGCTGTAATTTTGCAGCGGATTCTGCAGATTCACGCTGTGTGCACTGTGCCAGAATCAAACGACCTGGAAAAACACCCTACACTCTTAAAGATTTTGGAGTTGCCACTCCAAAATGATCAAATCATTGTTTACAATTTTTTTCTAAATACTTTTTTTTGTCTGCCAAATTACCGCCTCTCCTCCCCACTCCTTTTCCTTTTGATCACATCCGCATCTGTTTCTTGGGGTGACTCTCCGGAGGCACTGACACATCCTTTGGGTTTGCTAAGCCTCCTGAACTGCAAAGAGTCTGGCATAAAGAATTCCTTCGCTGTGCTCGCTGCAGCTTCCCGATGTAAGTAACAACACTCGCCCAACTGCTCAATAAAATTTCTTTTCTCTGAGCCTACAACCTTTTTTTCCCGAGTAAGTTTCTGTTTTCGTTTTGACCCTTTAATTCTTCTCATTTTTTCTCTTCATTAATACCATCGCTTTTAATTGTGATGCGGGGACAACGGTGCATTAAAGGGCGGCGCGAGTTTCTGATAACGCCACTCCATCCCTCTCTCTCCCAACCCCAACGCTTCTATTCGCCTTTGAAAGCGGGATGTGCATTAATGAGAGCCAGGGGTCTCTAGTGGTATATAGACCGTCTTTAAAAATAAGCAAATACCTCCATGCAAGAAAAAGAGAGCACGCCTTTCCCCTTCAACCCGGACAGTACCCGAACCGTCAGCCTGGGCGAGCTTTCTGAAAGGCTCACCTCCGGACAAGATGAGCTGATTTGCGGCCACGCTGCTCTTCGCGGGCAGGTGCAGCGCGGCTCGCCAGTTCCGTGTTAATTTGAGCCCGCAGAGGGACCTTTGATCAGCGCGCTCGCAGCCTGCAGGCTTCCCGAGCTGGGTCCGGCGACTTCAAAAGAGTTATAAAGCGGACTGTAATCCCGGTCTTCCTGTTTCTGCTCCTGCCCCCTGGGTGCTCATACAACCGCCCGACTTCCCACACTGTCCTCTGGTTTCCCACTCTGTGCAGCCACCGCAAACCCTGCGTGCGCTCGCAGGGGACTGGGCCAGACGATGACCCGGCTCAGGCTCATTTGCAGGGATGTGGAGGAGGGCTTGTCACTTAATGCTTGTTGGCCGGAAGCTGGATGTGAAAAGCCGTCTGTTCTGGGGAAATCTATACCAGGAAGACTGCTATTTAAGTCAGCCTACTTCCACAGACTGGCAGTGGGCTAAAATTGTGATCCATAAACTACAACAAAACTCCTAATCAATATAGTCAGTCAATCTGTCTATCAATCATCTATTTATCCTCTCTCTCTCCCTCTCCCTCTCCCCCTCCCTCCCTCCCTTCCTCCCTCCCTCCCTCCCCCCTCCCTACCTATCAGCTATCATCTCTGTGTTTTGAGACAAAGTTTCACTTTATCTTCCTAGCTGGCCTCTAACTCTACATCCTACATGCATCCTTTTTGTTCTCAATATTTTCATCCTTACTTGCCTTTGAATTTTCATTCTCTTTCAAGGCCCTCATAACTTTGGGTTCTGGGATCTTAATCGTATTTGGGATTCAAAAAAAGACTTTTGAAAACTTAACATGTATTTTGTGTGTCAAGTGTGTGTCCCTTGGCAAGCGTATAGAACAGGGGTCAGAGGACCACTAGAAAGAGTTCTCTCCGTCTCCTTTACGAAATTGAACTCAGGTCCTTGGGTGTGGTGTAGCGGCAGGTGCGTCTACCTTCTGAGCTGTCTCCCTGGTCCTGATCTATGGCTTCTATTAGAACAGCACAGAGGGGAGGTGAGAACTGGACTAGTGTGGCTTAAGCAATCATTTTGTTGTGTTTTCACAGTACAAGGGCTTGAACTCAGGCCTTGACCAATGTGAGGCTAAGCTCCATAGAGCCTTCTAAGTCAATTATTTGGAATCTTTGAAAAGCTTAATTTCTTTATCCACAGTTTGGTATCTATTTTTACCTATCTATTTATTTATTATTATTTTGCAACCACCCCAGCTGCCCTGGAACTCACCCTGTAAACAACAATTTAGTATTTAAAACACCAATCCCCCACCAAAAACAAAACAAAACAAACAAACAAAAAAACGAAATCACTAAACTTCAAAGTTGTTGAAATATCACAGAAGGTAAACTGAGGTCGCTTCAGAGTATCCCCCCTAAGTTGGCCAAAGAGAGAAGGTGAAACCTGTTCTGCCATGGGGTGAACCATCCTTGAGTAATTCAGAACTGGGATTGGGGGCTGGAGAGATAGCGCAGTGATTAAAGCACTGGCTGCTCTTCCAGAGGATCCGGGTTCCAGTACGCACACTACAGTTTCCAACTGACTAACATCGGGTCCTAGGGATGTAATACTGGTACACACAGAATATAGAAAGAAAAGAACTGGGCTTGGTCTGCGGAGCACTCAGTGATAAAGCTCTGGCCTTTCATGGCACGTGAAAGGCCCCATGTAGATCCCCAGCACCAAAAAGGACAAAAACAAAACAAGCAAACCCAAGTGACTGGGGCTCACAGTTCTCCTGAACTTCCTGCTGTCTCTGAAGCCCTCACACTGCTTCCTCCTATGAAGTCCTAAGGAGAGAAGGAAGTGAGGGCAGCTTTGCTGCCGTGTCAATAGAAACTGGAGAAGGGCAGGCTGGGGAATGAGCAAGTCAGGGCCAGACCAGAGCCAAAAGGCTGAAGCGAGGCTAGGATAGTCGCCCACGGGCAAGTAAGAGGAAGCAGGATTCTGGCCCCTATCCTGGGAGGGTCACCGGACAATTTAACCATTATCTGGCCACTCAGTTTTGCTCTAAAGAACTTGCTTTTGTTGGGTGCAGGCCTTTATCTCAGCATTTGGGAGGTTGAGGCAGAAGCAGGCAGATCTCTGTGAGTTCAAGGCCAGCCTGGTCTAAATAGTGAATTCCAAGAGGGTTGGAGCAACAGACATCCTGTTTAGAAACAAGCACCAAAAAAAAAAAAGACAACACCAAACACACACACACACAAACCAACAACAAAAAGAAGTTGTTCTTTGTAACTTTACTCTGTGTGTGTGCGTGCTGGCGCGCGTGTCTCTCTCTCTCTCTCTCTCTCTCTCTCTCTGTGTGTGTGTGATCTTCCTCTGATTTCTGATGCTATGATAAACACTGACTGAAGGGTTTATTTGGCTTACACTTCCTCATCACAATCCATCTCTAAGGGAAGTCGGGGTGGGAACTCAAGGTAGGGACCTGAAGTAGAGGCCCATGCTTTGTGGTACTGCCCTAACTCAAACATTAATCAAGAAAATGCCCCACTGATAAACTCACGGGCCAATCTGATGGAGCCGATTCCTTAATGGAAGTTCCCCCTTCCTACTAATTTCTGTTGAGCTGACAAAAGCTAACCGGCACAGGTGCTATGATGTATGTCTTTGGACAAAACCACCCAAAGATCATTGCAAACTTTAGGGTTGACCCTTTAGGGGAAAGAACAATCTGTGTTAAAACATTAAATTTGAGAGTCGAGTTTTATATTTCGGGTGGAAGCAATTGATGTGTAGAGTCAGTGTGCCCTGAAACAGTCGGTAGAGAGGAGTGGAGGCTGGAAGAGGGGTCAGGGAAACAGGAAGAGGGGTGCTGTGGGCTGCTGGCCACTAGTCCTAGGCAGCCAAACATCAGGCAAGTCCTGTCAAGTTCAGGCAAAGTGTTCTGTACTGAACGTAGGAGGGGAAGATCAAAAAAGACTATAATATTTCTTTAATTTTTCTTTCCTTCCCTTCTTTCTCCCTCCCCCTTCCTTCCTTGGTGTTTAGGGATTAAACCCAGGATCTTATACATACATCTTAAGCATACATCCCACCACTGACCTACACACTCCCAGCCCCCCTAACTTTCTGATGACTGTAGGACCCAACCCTACAGGTTCAATGGAGATCTCCCAGGCACCACCCAGGACCTGACCATCCAAGGGAAAATACCTAACATTCCGACCATTATAGATAGATTCACCTGACCTGACATCCCTAAGCACAGCACACACCCATCCCACAGACAAAAGTCAGTCAATGTCAATCAGGGGTCCTGAACCTTAGAAGTCCCCTCACCCCCAACCTCTGCTGAGAGAAAAACTCCACCTCAGCTGTGCTCAGAGCTCTCTGACCTTACAGCTCTGTTGGATGGACAAAAGGTCCAGGCTCAAGCGTGAGTAAAGGCCTTTGCTGAATACGAGTGTGGACTCCGTGGTGGTTTTGGAGGGACCCCACGATCTGGGTATAACTGACCAACAGAGCTCCCGTAAAACCTGTAGCCAACTAGCAATGGCTACCGAATCATATCGACGTAAACTCAGCGAGTAGCCGGAGGAAGAGCTGGAGGCTGGAGAGGAAAGAGTTCCATGACTACAAGAAACAAAAAGGCGAGCTGGAGAGATGGCTCAGAGGTTAAGAGCATTGCCTGCTCTTCCAAAGGTCCTGAGTTCAATTCCCAGCAACCACATGGTGGCTCACAACTCTCTGTGATGAGGTCTGGTGCCCTCTTCTGGCCTGCAGGCACACACAGACAGAATATTGTATACATAATAAATATTTAAAAAAAAAAAAAAGAAACAAAAAGGCACAGCCTGGAAGTCAGGGCATCCACTGAGAGAGCACTGCAGAGGGGCAAGGCTGTCAGAGCCAAATAGCCCAGGTGGGAAGGGGCTTGGTGTGTGTGTGTGTGTGTGTGTGTGTGTGTGGTGTGTCAGGGGCAGATAAGAATCAAACGCTAAGAAACCTTGAAACAGACTCAAGGCCCAGAGCTTACAGGCCACGTATCCAAAGTTCTCCCTCACTTGAACTCTCTAGGACTCAGGTCTGTACACACTCATCCCTACACCAGTTCTGGGGGCTGCAGGTGCCAGTAAAGCCCCTTCTGAAAGATCAGGGCCAGCAAGGTGGCTCAGCATGTTCAAGAATTCGCTGCCAGTCCTGATTGCCTGAGTTGGATCCCCAGGACTCAGGTGGCAGGAGGAGTAGACTGACGCCCCCAAGTTGTTGTCTGACCTCCACGTGTACAAAGCGGTTATGCATCCATTCCATCCTCACAGAGAAATAAAATGTAAGTTTGGAAAAGAGCCCTGGGAGGTATTCAAGTGCTGGCTGGGTAAGCACTTCACGGGAACTTGGAGGACTGAGGTAGGAGACACAGTAGAGTCTGGCGTTCAAAGTTAACAGGGCAAGACTCCGGTCTCAAGGAAACAACAAAAAAAAAAAAAAAAAAAAAAAAAAACAGCAAATAATCAAAATGCAAACAGTGAAAGAGGAAGCGGAAGGGCCAGGAGTTCAAGGTCACTTTCAGGGTGCGCAGAGTTGGAGGTCAGCCTGAAACACATTTAACCTGTCTGAATAACACAAAGCAAAGTATCCAGACGCCCTTTTCAGTGCATTGATTTCTACTTAATGTTTCTATAATGTTTGCAGTAGAGAGGTCTGACAAACCAGTAGCGTGCATTTGGGCCATTTGCTATCCTCTTAGACACTGCCATCCTGAAATGGAAATGAAAACCGTTGCATTATATGTGGAATCTTCCAAGCTACAAGCTTCAATTTCAACACTTGTATGAGCATTGAGTATCGTATCCTGTTCTTACAAATAGCTGTGCCTGTGGCACATGCTTTTTGTAATGGTTGTTCTGTCTTTTTAAGAGACAAGCCACGCCCACTCCCTCCCCAATCCACTGAGGGAGGCTGATCTTCAGCTTCTGGCCTGAGCTCGCTCTCTTTTACATCTTCCTCTTGGAGAGGCAGCTTCGCTTTTAGTCCCAGCACTCAAGAAGCAGAGCAAGGTGGATCTCTGAATTGGAGGCCAGCCTGGTCTACAGAGCAAGTTCCAGGACTGCCATGGCTGTTACACAGAGAAACCTCATCTTGAAAAACTAAAAATCACAACAAAATAAAAAGCCAAATAGCTATACCCAAGTAGTAATACTGTTTTGTTTTGTTTTTTCCCTTTTCCGGTCTTAATCAGCTCA